ACGGTAAGTGAAGGTTTTGGAAAATGATTTCATCCCCATTATCCATAGTGGCTTTGATTTCGACAAGACGTGGTTCATACAAGACAGATCTCGACTTCATCGGGCCAAGAGAGTGTTTGGTGTCATGAAGGAGCACTTTGGGGACCGCATTCTGGCTTTGGGGTACCCAGAGGCCACTGGAATGGGACTCTCTTAGCCGCCATATTTTCCGGATCTGAACACGTGTGACCCAAAACAATATGTACAAAAATAACCCGAAATCCCTTGCTGAGCTGGAAAACTGCCATTCAGGAGGTTATCGACAGCATCGATATTCCGATACTTCAACGGGTGATGCAGAATCTTGTTATTCGTCTGCGCCACGTCATAGCCAAAGATGGCAGGCATATCGAACATGTCATAACCTAAATCCGAATATCTGTAGTGACGTTTACATGTTGATTAAAGTTCGTGCACTCAGGAATTTTCAAATAATTTACGTTTTATTTCATATAGTTCAATAATTGTCACCCTGTACCTAGGCTAACGAGAGCCACCACTGGGATTTTTGCAACTCGGTACAATCTCTGAGGTTCCTGCTACCCACTGCCTCCCTAAATTCGAAAACTGCACCTGTTGCCCATCCGAGGCTCTGGCGGTCATCCCGAAGCTAAGACCAGGGCCTAAGGACTCAGATTTTAGAGAGTTCAAAACCATTCTATAGTTCCTCGCAATCTCAAAATAAAGAATGCAAATGGTAGTTGGAAGCAACTGAATACATGTTGTATTTAGCCTGCCAACTAAGGCTGCTGACTATCGACTATATGCAAAAGGTGCAGAAAATAGCTACACATATTTCCAAAAGAAAACTTTTATATTTTAAAAACATAAATTTACAAGCATGTGTTTCAAATTATCGTTTGTCGAAATTCCAAGTTTCGAATTTAAAGAAATGCAGTTTTATTCCCGTTTTCTAAGATTGACACTTTTTCAAATTTGGCTGAAGGCCACATTAATATTGGATTGAAACATTAAGTAATGGCCGTTTAGGTTGTGTTTAAAATTACGCGGTAAAAATAAAATGTATTGGATTAATGTTTTGTGTTATTCGAAAGAGAATCTTTCCCTCTACCAGATGGCGTATTTGATTTTTTTACCTGAGCTAATTTTTGTTATTTTTCAGATCATTAAAATGGACTGTCGAGTCGACAAAAATAAGCATTTTAGAAACCTTCTCCTTTTTGCGTTTAATCGAGGCGCCAATGCTGCCAGAGAGATTTGTGAAGTGAATGGAGAAGGTGCAATGCCTGAACGAACTGCAAGAAACTGATTTGCCAAATTCCAAAAATGGAAATTTCGACCTCGAAGACACTACTTGTTCCGGACGACCAACTGTGTTTGATGAAGAGCGTTTGAGTCAACTTCTGCACGGAAACAAACCCGAAAATTAGCCGAACGAATAGGTTGTAGCCAAATGACTATAGTTCGACATCTTGGGTCTATGGAGAACGTCCGAAAACTTGGATATTAATGACTAATTTATTGTTTTTTGTTAAAATGAAAATTTTTAAACTAAAAAATCTGATGTGTACACCACATGACTTCCTTGTACGAAATATTAAATTATACGCATGTTTTCTTGCATTTCATTTAAACGTATTGGATTGAATTAACTCTACTTCGTCGACAATGCATAAACCACAATAGAATAAATACACTCTTTAAAATTCACTATATTTGTTTACCATAGCGACACTGTGACGCTAAGTTCACTTGACAGTATTATATTTCGTTCATATTATAATTCAGATGCAAAAAATTTATATCCTTTGAAGAATTATCTAATCGTTGCCACACATTCTATTCAAATACTATAATAAAGCTAGAACGGTGTATGAAAGAAATTAAGCAAACAAAACAAAAAAAGAAACAGTTTTTCACAGACGATTCAGTATTTCTCATTCAATTAATTCAGTTCTCACTTCGTGACAAGTCAAAATTACATAAAAACTCAATCGTCTGAGAAAAACTGTTTCTTTTTCGTTTTGTTTGCTTAATTTCTTTTATACATCGTTCCAGCTTTGTTATAGTATTTGAATAGAACATGTGGCAACGATTAGATAATTCTTTAAATGATATACATTTTGTGCATTCTGAGTTATAATATGAACGAAATGTAATACTGTTAAGTAAACCGCGCCAGAGTGTCGCTATGGTAAACAAAGTGGAATTTAAAGAATGCATTTATTCATTGTTGGTTTGCCTGTGGGGAAGTAGGTTTTTAATTCAATCTAATAAGTTAAATGAAAATGCAAAAAATGAAAAAAGCGTATAATTTAATATTCCGTACAAGAAAGTCATGTGGTGTACACATCATTTTTTTTTTTTTTTTTTTTTTTTTTTTAAATTTCTTCAAATATAATGCAGGACTCTAGCATTCGGTGGCAACAATTTGAAATTGGAACGGACATTTATAGTGAACCAACGCAAAATCGCAAAACGAAAACAATCCTCCATCAGGGACAAAGCCCCTTTAAACTAAAAAATTACTAGAACTCTCTCGCGACCGACTGAAAGCTTTATAAAGCCGAAAAGAATCATCTCAGCTCAGTTCTTTACTTAGCTGCTGTAATTATTGTTGATTGGATTAGCTTTCTCTACGCTGTGGATTGCATTATATTCTAACGTTTTTAGTAGTTTGGAGAATAACTACTAAATGTTGCGTGATATTGTGCACTTGTACGAATATCTCTGAGGAAAATTCCTGCATTGTGTTACATTTCTTTTGCTAAGAATACATTTTATTAACCTTTTATCGGACTTGTGCATTCATTACGAATCCGTACGCACGCAACAATACTTTGAAATTTTCCTTGGTGAATCCCGTTGTCTACAAAGCTTTAAAAATAATTGTGACAGATATCGAGATATATTTCTCTTTGACAATAAAGACAAATCTGTGTTTTCTGTTGAGTTATAACGTCTTGTGCGCTTTGCTATCATAAACTAAGTTCGACATTAGAAGACAGTTTAGAGAATTACCTCTAAGTACTACAAAGTCAGGAGAAGGGTGTAAAGAACCCTTTGTTAGCTCAATTAAAGTTCATAGATGGCGCCACCTTCTGCTTACAAAAAGTCAACACTTTTCGCCTAACTCAAAAAGGTAATGATTAACTTAAAATTAAATGAAATTAAATAACTTAAAATTAAATGAAATTAAATAACTTAAAATGAAATGAAATTAAATAACTTAAAATTAAATGAAATTTAAGTTTAGCCCAATGGGTTAACTATCGCGCAGGCTGGCTTTGACTCAAAAGTTCGCGTACACAACCCTAATGGCAGAAACAGCTCTACGCCACAGAAATCTAATACCTAGTAAAACGAGACAGCAACGTGTCCTTCATGCAGGCAGAACACGCTTTCCAAAAACTTCCCTTTAATACTAACTTCTTTCTACTTCATTTGAATACACGCGAGCTAGATAATTTACACTCTAGCAAGAACGTGTGGGTTAAAAGCAAAGGGGTAGGGGGTAGAAAAATAACTTCATGATCAAATAAATTATATAAATTGTAAGATTCTGTACTGTGTAGTTTTAAGTTACAGTTAAAGTTGAAGGAACTTAAGAACTGATAAGCGAATGATCGCTTGAGTTCGTGAGACAGTAAATCAGACTTGAAAAGGGTTAAAGACCCTTTATTATTCCAAATAAAGTTAACAGACGACTCTTTCTTGGAGTTTACAATGAAGCCTTCTCTTGTGCTTGAACTCAGGAACTAAGAAATCAACTAATTAATCTTAACTAAAAACGATATAGCCGAAGCTATCAAGATTCTAACCGAGTTGGCCCCTTAATGCTGAAATAACGGCGAAGCTATCAAGGGCATAAAGTATGGCCGAGCGTAATAATAGCTTAAGACGAGAGAGTAGTCTAAAGAGGCGAACGCGCCCTAGTCAGAATCACTGGCTGTCTAATGAAGTCAGTAGAACTTCGCGGTTAAATACTACTCCACAAATTTGCCTTCAAACGCGATTCTAAAACTACGTTCTGGCCGGAAGTGGTTAAGTTGAAATTAAGAAGCGATAGGAAAGGAACTTTAGGCTAATCTTTAGAATATGGTAACAGGTAGTTTGGCGATATTTTGGTAAGGCGGTAAAGGTTACTACTAGCTAGGACTTTAGCAATAATCTGAGAAGTACACAGTTCGAATCACAGATTATTTTGTCTCAAAGAAATGAGAGATCATGAGACATGTCATCTGACATTTTCCGGAAAATTCCGATCGGATTTTAGCTAATCAGCACTTAGAAATAATTTCGCTGCTAAAGTGCAGAATCGCCCACTTATTTGTTTGGCGCTTAAGAAGAATTGGATTTTTGTCAATTTTCTTTGATTTTTTTCAGTGAAAATAGGTCGATGTGTACATAGATAAAGTCAAGAGTGTGTGAAATGCCATTTTTGTGCAACTCTGGGATGTTTTTTTAAGCGAAAATAGGTCGACGTGTACATGGATACCGCGTATGTGCAATTCTTAAAAACGCGGCAAGCAGTTTGCGATTCTGCACTTTCTCCCAATTTCGCACCTAATCTTCGCCATCATTAAGCATTTTTGTTCCAGAAAAGTGCTAGTATACGCCTAATTCGCCTAGCAGATTGGTGGAAAAAATGTTGAGTAAACAAAAAAAAAAAAAAAAAATGCCTTTACTTCGTGAAAACAAAATGGCGTCCAAAACAAAACTAGCAGATATCTGTAGCAGGGTTCGTCGCCAAATTTTCGCCAAAAAATCGCCAAGTTACCATAATGTAAAGCTTCACCGAACTTTGACACAAAATTTAACTGTTAGGAAAATTAATATAATCCATACAAAATCCTCACAAAGATAATCAATTCACATATAGATACATTGTTGAAAAATGATGGTATCTTCTTAATTTCAAGTAAACTCATATTTCAAAAGTTCGAAGTATTCTGAAATTCTGAATATCGGAATAAATTCTAAAAATGAATGATACTTACACTTTAAAGAACGATTTTGTTCCATACAGGAATAAGGCTTCGCCCATAAATGTTCCGGAAAGATCCTGATGCATTCTCTCTGCTGAATTAAGAAAACTTTCTAGAGCATTTAAATTAGTTTTCCATGAATATTTGTCACCAACGCGTTTGAGTGGAAGCATATCTAAGTCGTAATTGTCCCGTTTATCAACTGGTATTTGCTCCTAAAAAAAAAAAAAAAAAAAAAAAAAAAAAAGAAAATCATATTTTTAGAACAAATTAAAATAAATTATAATTAGCCCAGTAGGGGTATTAATTTCATTTTGGTATTTTTGGTCAAATCACTATAAACGGCGAATCATTTTCCAAATTATTTCCACCTAATGTTAGAGCCCTGCATCATATTTAAATAAATTAAACAATGAAGAATCTACATAAATCTATGTATGTTTTTCGCATTGTGATAAAACAACGGTACCTAAAGCCATCCAATTTTGAACAACGTAACCCTCCACCCGAATATGGGCATGTGGAAGCACTGATTTGGAATTTGTTTTATTATCTATTTCATATTTTGTAAAGCATTTTTGAGTTTGGGGATTAAGAAACTCAACGATTTCAAAGCGAGTAATGGTAACATTGTACGGAAAAAAAAAAAAAATTTATCTCCAGCGCGAGAGACTCTGTATCGGAAATTCTAAAGATGTGGTCTTTTAAAATTACTTTGTAATATTGCTATTGAATTGAATTTTATGATTTAAGTGCAAAAAAATTTAATGTTTAATAAATAAAGATAACACACAATACGTTAAAAAAAAAAAAAAAAAAAAAACCTTTGGGCGTAATACACCTATGCCTTGGTTATGCTTTACGTTCACTACAGGCATCAACTTCTTAGAGTTTAAACCTTATCATTCTAACTTGTCATACGGCCATTCACGGTTGTAGAAAAAAATTTAGAACGCTGTCACGCCACTCACCCGAAGGCGAAAATAAGAGTCTGAGAGATCAGGCAATTAGAGCTTTAAGGTCGCAAGTCAAGGTGGCGTACATTAACATAATAAAATTTCAGTCATGAAAGTCAAAAAATTTCAGTCATCATCTGAATCCTGACTGAAGAACATAAAACTGCTTAGTGAGAGATTCGAGATAATAATATCTAATTCTTGAGAATTCAGGGTATGAGTATCACGTGACCGGTCCGAGCCAATACGGTTGGATCCACAGTGGTGGCGGGTGAGTTCAATTATTACACTTGTACAAAAAACCTAAAATCTTTGCCTCTCCAGGCACTAAGTCCATATTCTTAGTAGTAAACACAAACACAAATTCACAAACATGAAATAAATCTTGGTTAAATACTTGGATGAATACTAGGATTAAATACAATTGATTAATACGTACTTCAATAAAATGAGATAAGTTGGATAAAACTATATGCATATTTACAGCTGCCACTTTACATTGTGGTGAATTGACCTAGGTCGTTTCACGACGCTTTCCAAAGTGGGATCATAGTTCGTAAGTTCTCTCAACGATTGACTGGCGATTCTCCATTTCTCAAACATTCTGAACATCCATTAGGATCTGCTCCGGTATTGGTTTAATTTTTAAATCTTCATAATGATCGTATTTCTAACATACTAAGGCGCATTAACATCGCTCTCAGTATTTTATTTTGCAGGAGGTTAACTTTCCTTCGTTCAGTCTTTAACGCCGTGGCCCAGGCCGGGGCTGCATAAAGCAAAATTGGTCTAATACCTATGCCTTGAGATTCGAATCCGGGCCCATTGCTACGGCCAGTAAGGTTCACTAACCACTATACTGGCTGCGCAGCTAGTTTCTCATACCTTGCGGTCAATGACTAGTTAGTTCTCTTCTCTAACTACCCAAGAATCAGCATAAATCTTTTAAATCAGTGTAACTGTCAACACTAGCTACGACATTATTAAATTGGAACCTGTGTTGCAGAGTTTTCTTAAAATCAAAGTCTTGATTCGTTTCAGTACGATATTCTGTAACCAAGGCAAGACGGAAAGGGCTGCTCTTAACTCCCAAAACAACTAATATGGTGAAACGTTTTAGGTTTCTTCTCTTTTAAATTATCCCATCAAAGAAAACGCAAGAATTCTCTGTCCTCTTTGCAAACACTTATTTCCAGAAAGTCTTTTGCAATATCTGCAGTAAAACCAAACTTCTTTCTAAATCGCCATAGAATTTCTGGAATCAATTTGATGAGATCTGGCCCAAATTGCAGACACTAGTTCAAGGAAAGGTGGTTTTGCAACTTTACGGTCAACTACGGTCGAATGGAAGTTGAACCAAAGACTACAGTCGAATAGAAGTTGAACCAAAGACTACGGTCGAATAGAAGTTCAACCAAAGACTACGATCGAATGGAAGTTCAACCAAAGACTACGGTCGAATGGAAGTTGAACAAAGACTACGGTCGAATGAAAGTTGAACCAAAGAATATAGGGACCTCTTCACCTTCTTTGATTGAACTGCTGGTTTCATTTGTGACAAGTCGATGAGGTAAGCAGTTCCCATTCAGAATCCCTTCATTTGGAGGGATATCCTCAGCGACTCCTTTATCAAGCCATTACAGAAAACATTTTGATATCTGTCATACATGTTGTTAAACAAGAGTTTTGTAGTTGTCACTTTAAGTCTTCTCTGGCGAAGTTAAAGTTATCAGGAAAAAAGTTGCCCATGGCAAACAAACTTCGTAACTTTATCTTGATAAAATTTCTCTGTTTCGGGAAAATGTTCTTTAGTTTTCAGGTTTATCACACGTTTTAACTTTTCCTCCATGAGGTTCTCGATTTCAGTGACATTTCTAGAGATCAGCAATTTCCATTTTCTTCACAGACAGTGATGTTACGGTCATTGCAAAGTTTCAGCACCCACTTGAGGGACTTACCCATTAATGTCTATCGGAGATGGCTTTCGAGTGCAATTAAATCTGAGGATAATATTTTTTTCCGCCTGTCTTTAATTCTTTAATATGTAGGTAATTTTTTATGTAATTTTATTCCTTTTTACATTTTATTACATAATTTTTTATATAGTACATATTTTTATATATTTTTATATATTAGTACACCTTGAACACAAAAAATGGCAGTTCTAGCTCCCCGTTCTGCTGGACCGTTGTCGAATTTACTGAGCTTTCCATGTCTCGAGCGCGATTAGGATATATAGATTTATATTTAACATTATTCTAACATAGGTATTTTGGCTCAAAATCGGAATTTTTCCGAAATAACATACCATTTTTTTTCCATATTTCAATTCTACGACTCATATCATGCCTGGATATTAAATTCTGTAATTTTTGGTGAAAAATGTATGGAGAAATTTAAAAATTTACCTTGGCGCATTTTTTTCAGTTCGCGCCAATAATTCACTTGGCGAACTTCGTAATTTATAGCAACCTATTTACCTTTCCCTTTTTTTCACTGTACACGAGTGGAAAAGAGGTCATAGTTCATACTTTCAACTAATTTTAGCAAAGTGCACAAACCAAATTTGGCGTTATTATCGCTTATAACGAATATGCCAAACTTCAAAACGCGCCAAAATGTAAATTCACGGGTATCTTAGGAAATTTTGAATAAAAGAACTTACATTTTTTGCAGGTATGCTCAGAAATATATCTACTTTAACATAATGTGAAAACATTTATAGGTTCTATATATCCAAAATGTTTTTCGAAAAATTTATATAAATTATTTAAAAATAAATCGTAAAAATTTGGCGAATTTTATTTGGAATGAACCTAAATTTGGAAATGTGAAAGGAAGAATCAAATAAGTTAAATAAGACGTAGGCAATTTCCTCTAAAACTTGCCTTTGCTATGACCATCCATAAGTCTCAGGGCCAAACGCTTAAGCGTGTTGGCATTTTTTTACCTGAGCCTGCATTTGGACACGGTCAACTTTATGTTGCCTGTTCAAGAGTTCGTGAAAGAACGGACGTAAATTTAAAAATAATGGATGATCCTCTGCTTATCGAGCTTAAAATTGATGGAAAGATCTACACAAGAAATCTTGTGTACAAAGAGATCTTTGACATGGGAATTAACATTTTATTATGTTAAATCACCTCTATTTATTCAGCTAGCAGTGGCTCTTGAAGAAATGTACCGCTTGTGGTTTCCTTCACTCGCACTCTACTTTAAGCAATTAAAGAAGTAGAAGGGGGAAACTCCGTGGGGCAGTAAGAAAAGGGGCGTCCTCGCCACCTGCCGGGGTAATTCAGTTTGAATTAGCAGACACCTTTGCACAAATCCTTTTAATTACAATTTATAATATTGTTGCGTGCGTACGGGTTCGTTATGAAATGAATGCACAAGTCCGATGAAAAATGAACAAAAATTTATTATTATCACAACAAAAATGCTTAAATTTTCTCAATTTATCATGCAGTATTACAATATCTCACAGTAGTTATCTTTTAACTACTCAAATGTCCAATAGAACGTAATTCAAAACAGCTAAAGAACGCTAATCCGCGAATTCGCTACAATCAACAAGAGCAGTTTCCTAAACAACAACAAACTAAGCAAACTACTACAACTGAGATGTTTTCCTCCTTTTTATAAGATTTTAAAATCACGCGCTAGAATTTTCCAGTACTTTCTCGAAATCAAAAAGAGATATTTATTTATTTAACGCACGCGCTCTTGTATTTTTAATTTTTCCGGCTTAGCTTTCTTTTAATATTCGTCACGCGCTGCACTGCGCGAGAAATAAAACCATTTAATTTATAATTGAACTAACATTAGCTTTTTAAATACCAAATTCGTAACAGTATCTAGAACAGCGGTCATTTCCTATGACCGCCGGGCTTTCTGGTAAATTATAATTACATTAAGTGGTATACTTAGTTTATTCAAAAGCATTTTATAATAAACAAGATTTTACGAATTTCTATACAGAGTACAAAATTGATTTGTAAAATGGTGAGTACGTAATGAGAATGGCACAAAAAACCGTAAAATTTTCGGATGAACAACAGTTAGTAAAACATGCAGCTCGTAAATCAGACGTTCAAAAAAATGTCGACTTAACTGTATATGTTTGAAATTAATCAATTTCTTTACTTATTTAATAACTTCGGACGAATGGTAATATATTTAGCAGAGAAAACCTTTTTAATTAACAACGAACTATTTTATTTAGCATTCTAAACATATCAAAAAGAATAACATTCCATGCGTTATCACGATCAAAGCAATATATAAGAAAACATCACTGTTGCCACAAAAAATCTACATTATAATGAACATATTAAATTATTGTGTATTAACTGAGTTCGTGCACATTTCTGAACAGTATATGTGTACTCAATGGTGAAAATTTACAAGTCCGTTTAAAAAAGCGAATTAAATAATTTTATATGCAAATAAATTATTACTAATTTGTAGAGCTTAATGGATCGTAAAACATTTTGTTTTATTCATAAGAATTTCGCATTTAAAAATTAGATTAATTAAATAAACCTTTTTTCAGCAGGAAAATACTCACTGGTGGCAACAGTTTAACCATAAATTGCACAACGGCTTTCTTCGCTGTCCTTTCATCTGCTCCAAGCGGAATGGCATTCAGAGACTCTTTGAGCAAGTGCAGCATTTGTATCACTATTCCGGAAGAACGGACACTAAAATTTTGAGGCGTCATATCTTCAACGATTAATTTTTCTACCTTTTCCGGCTGAAAAAAAAAAAAAAAAAAAAAAAAAAAGCATACACACACAATTAGATCGTCTTAATTTTATACCCGTATGAACCCTCTATTTAATTTACTGTTTGAGAAAAAAAAAATCTGTTATTTTTAAAAATACACATAATATAGAATCACAGTATTACATCTAAATGATTGATCAATAAAATAAATATACGCGTAAATTATTAATGTGCGTTTCACACATGTTGAAGTACCCGAAATCACTCTTTAATTAGAAGCCACATATTGGGGTAGTAGGTCGTTAGACACCCGAAGATTTATCTATATTTGGTGTATTTAGCTATCGCTTATATTTTATATTTGATGCCTTCTAAATTACATCATATTATTGCGTGAGTGCGAGTTCGTAATAGATTGAATGCACACAAATCTGATGATAGCTTGATAAAATTTATTTCACGGGAAAAAAAAAAAAAAAAACTTCACTTTTGGAGTATTCCACAAAAATAGTTGCACAGCTCTTCACAGTATCAGCAATTACACTTCAAATTACTAAGATTGTTAAACACAAAGCAATGCAAAGCGCATCTAAAATTCGAATTTTCGGTTTTATATGAATTTTAAAGTCTTTAATCCTTAATTTCCTTCCGTACGCACAGAAAAATTGAATGAAAAAAAATTTATAGGTTACTATAGGTTACTATGAACCTTCCTTATTTATAATAGATGGCAGCTGAACACAAACCAGTCCATATATTTTAGCCATCTTTAGTTTTTTAAGACCCTCATATTTCAAAGAAATCTTCCAGATTTTTTTTAGGATAGAAAAGGAATTGTTTGAAAAGAAATTTCTATGTTATTTTTTCGCTGTATGCTAATCTCCTTATTCTATATTAGTTTCAAATTTTTACCTTGAAATCTTGCCTAAAATCAAACGGCGAACCGTATGTGTGCCCAGACCGGGCTGCGTAATGGCAGACCGCACATTGAGTTGAACAATGTTAAGCAAATTTCGCTTAGTGCGCATACTTGATGGTGTACCTTTGGCGCGGGGAGAAATATTAGCGACTAAGCAACCCTACGCTAGCTTATTCGTGATCACCATGGCTGTCGAGCGTGTTCGTTTCGATGTGTTACAATTGTAATGTTTTGGAACTTTGCTTATTAGTTATTTTTTAAACGTCCATACCGATGCACTGCTTATTTTTCTAATATATATTTCATTGTAATTTGTCAATAATAGTGCATTTAATATTTGTTAACATATGTTCGTAAAAATTCGTTATTTAAATGTAATTTGTTTACATGTTATAATTCAGTAATTGTAAACTGGAGTATCACGCTTAGTTTGTTAGCGTATATTCGCGCTTTTATTTTATCATTTCAAAGAATTTAATAACTAGCGTTAAGGAATTGTAAAACTTCTTCAGTGTTATTTGCAAGCACTTGTTATATCCCTCAGTGTTTCTTTATGTATGTACGAATGGAACGTATGGTAAATCCTGAATTGTTTTTATTGCTTAAAAAGTATAATGAATAAATTTTCAACTAATATATCCTAAATTTCAGTCATTTTCTGAACGAAAATTTGTACAGTTCCAAAGGAATGTGCAGAATTTCATAGGTATTATATTTTACATTTTGAATGCAAACACTGCTTCACATTACTTCGCAAAATTTCAGCTTTCTAGTTGTTTGAGCAGTACAGCAAAAAAAATAGTATTTTAACACAGTAATTAATTTCTACGAAGATTTAAACGCCAGATTTGTTTACAATCAGATGGCGGTACATCTACCACATACCGTATTTATCTTCTTTTCAAATCGCGCCAACATAGTAATTACGCCAAATTGTTTTCTGGGTATGCGCAGTATGCGACATTCGTTTAACACTGTTCAACTCAATGTGCGGTCTGCTATTACGCGACCGGGCTCACTGATCATCTAGGACAACTGAGAGTCTGTATTCTTTGTTTCTCCGCATATCATCGGTCAATTCATTGACAACAATGCTCGTTTCAGCACTATTTTCGAAACTCTATTCAATTAGCGTGCCAGTTTGGGCACACCCACAGAATTAAAACGATAAGTGATATCTTCACAAAATTTTACTAGTGTACTCCTCTTGGCCTAATTAGACTGCCTACCATTTTTTTTTTTTTTTTTTTTTTTATCAAAATTCCGACTTTAAAAGGTAGCGTGCCTTATAAAAATTTGATGAAATCTTTTTACGAGTTTGGATCTCAAATGGACCAAAAAAAACGAAACATATTAATCGACTTTCATGAAACTTTAATTCATTTTCCCATGATGAATTCCGAATTGGAATTTCAATAAAGGGAGATTATTTTCATTTATTTATTTATTTATTTATTTTGTATAATTTTGTATATTTTCCCTTTTGCATTTTTATTTTTCGAGATTGTACTACTATGAATTCTTTCTTTCTTTAGATTAGTTTTGATATTGTGTTAAACCTCTTATACACGGTTGAAATTATTATATTAAAGCGGAATTGTTTTACTTTTATTCCAATCTACTAATTAATTTAGATGTTTTAAGTTTATTCTACTTCAATCCCGCAGGTATAGTGCAGGACGGGTTTATACGAATAGTTTGGTTTGGTTTTATTAGATTACGGCAAAGCACTCGAGGGCTCTCTGCCTTAAAGGGAGGGATGCCTTCATGGAGGACTTTCTAAGGGAAACTGGCTCGTATACATGTTACACATGGGGAAAACCACGAAAAGCCAGCCCGTTCGCGGGACTCGAACCTCGGACCGAACTACCAGTGTTCAGCGACGTTACCGCTCGGCCGATGTTGTGCTGTTTATACGAATAGAGAATATTTGTTAAATTCAAATTTCATTCCGTGCAGCAACAGCGCAAGAGAATTATTTACATTAATTTTACTTTACTATATTCTTGTGAAACAATATAAATTTCATATTTTGGCAGTCAGGCACAGGAATAATGATGCTTGGCATCAGAATCCGGACATTGTTGTGGCAAGCAAGGCACCTAATGACGATAGAGAAGAAGTTAGCTTTTTTGATTTCCCATCTTTATTTAGTACAAATGGCAAATGATTATTCTTTTCGATTCTCCAAGATTACATATACGATAGTAATTTAAACTAAATAGCATTATCTTTAAATTTACTTCGACATATTGTTCAAGCAAAGGAAGACAGATGGGAAGAGCGGCAGCAAAGGTATTACAGCCAAAAGTCGTTAATCCGGACTCGTCGGGACTTCGGCGATTCCGGATTATCGATTTTTCCGGATTATAGATCATCAGTTTAAATCTCGTAAGATGTCATGCAGAAATTCTAAAATTAAAAATATGAAACCTTAATTTATGAAATAAAGAACAATTATAATCTAAAGAGTATCAAAATTTACAAAAAAAAAAAAAAAAAAAAAAAAAAAAAAAAAGCTTAATATTAATTTGTTTACTTTATTAAACATATCTTTCAATGTAAGTTTTCGTTTTATGTGATAATACTTTCTCTTTAATTCTGTAAACAGACACAATTTCTTGTTCAGTTACAAAGTTCCGCTGTTCAAGTCCCGTTAATTGTTGTGTCGAGAATACCGACTAACTTGTCAATCGAAATTTTTTCGTTTTCACTAACCTCTCTGTCACATTCTTCATGTCTTTATCCATTTTTTGCAGCAATTCCACTTTTTGTTTGATGGACATGGAAACATACTTTCGTTTTGTACGATCCTTTGGGAGCTCCAGAATCGGAAATTCTATTTGACATAATCGAAAGTTCAAGTTTACATTTATAAAATTGCTCTTACAGTCTGCAAAAAATAATTAGCCGTATCCAATTCGAAGATTAAGGAACAACGCAATCATCAACATTAACTGAAATAGATAATTAGATAATTTTAGATTATACCGTCCGTTATACATAAAACGTATTTCTGCGCTTGCGCACACGCGTATGCGCAGTGGTAAAAAGTTCTTATGCACACGCGTAAACGCCTATGCGCATGTGTCAACGCGGCGCATGCGCAGAAAATTTTTAGCTTTGTGGTCCGGATTATAGATCATTCCGGATTATGGGTGTCCGAATTAACGACTTTTGACTGTATAGCACGAGAAGAAAGCGGTCTGACGAAAAATGGCTCGAACTCTGCATTTACAGTAACGGTTGCATAACATGCCAGATTGTTCTCGAAAGTACTGTTCTAGGGGAGGGAGATCCTGAAATTGCGAAAAGTTAATTAGAGGTTGCCTGTTCGCGTAGAGCAAAACCATCGTATTTTTTCTATTTTACATATATATTGTTGCGTTTTTTTCTTCCTTCAGGTTCGTACGGGGTTTGTAGACTTGGAGTGAATAACTACGACACTTGATGAAGTATCGAAACACACTTTATTGGCCAGTATTGTCAGGACAGCTCCAAAACACGTTTTTACAGTCGTCGATGAACTACTATAAACACGCTGACACGATCAGCGACACAGCGTCCAGGTTATCAGGCTATCACGGTGGAGACAGCTTCATTGCAAAGCACCAGAGTACAGCTCCCGACTCTGCTCGGTCGTTCTCGGAACTCCACGTACTCTCGAGACTCTCCACGCGATGCACTCGACAAAATATAAGAGTATAGCTCTCGACCCAGCACAGTCTAAGACAAAACTCGACGATACACTAATTCGCAATGCACTAAGACTCTCTCGATGCACTCGACGACCAACTCGGCGCTAGACTTCGAGGCACTCCCTCAATGACTGACTATCAGCTCGCTAGACGAGGCGCACACACACTGACTGCGGAACCAGCAGGGTTCATATAGCTTTCGGCTTGTGTTCGATAACATTCTGGGCTAAACCGGTAATAATTCGTTCTAGAAAGTTCTCCATCCGTCCATGGTATATCGCCACTTTTGTTGTCTCATTCATTTGCATTCAACGGGATTCTAAAAAGTCATTCTCGTAGGGAGTTACAAGCGGAAACAAGACTTGATAGGAAAGTGATTTTGAAATTAAAAAATCTGAAAACTTTCAGACTGTAATAGTTGATGGCAATAGTTTGAAAAGTGAATCAAAGCAGAAAGTGAATCGACGCAAAATGCCAAAACGAAATTAATACCCCTTCTGGGCTAACGCCTTTTGGGCTAGTAACTGTTACAAAATTAATATATACCTTACAGAATAATAAGAATCTCTCGGTGACCTTATTTAAGGTATTTCTCCCGCCTTCTTAGCATGCTTTCGTGGTGTAGTGGTCAGCACGCTCGACGCGAATTCGAGAGGTCCGCGGTTCGAGTCTCGGCGAGGGCATTGCTCATTTTTTACATCTTTTGCTTCAAAAATACCTAATGTCTCTACAACATTAATCTCTTTTTCTCGAATAGTCTTACCTCCCTGCCGAACTGGCCTACAGTGGCCAAGTGGCTAAGACCTCTGAATACCGGTATTTCGACATGGCTTGGGTTCAGACTCAGAGAACAGGTTGTCTGCATGGTTGATTTTCGTCGCTTTCTCCATGCGTAACAGGAATATGAACCAGTATCCCTCAAGGGTCGTTCCCACTGGGGTTTAAGTGAGCTAGCTAATGGGGGCAACTAAAGTAGTCGACCCATTTCCAAAACCAGTTTTTTTCCCCCATAGGGCAGCAAGTTAAAAAAAGCTGAACTGCAGGCATAGCGGAGCTAGTCGACATATGGAATTGACTCCGTTAGCTCAGATAAACCCCAGTGGGAACGGCCCTTTAGAAAGCCTTCTACGAAGGCATCCCTCCTCTTTGGCAGAAAGCTCTGTCGGGCTTTTCCGTACTCAAATAACCCAATCCCTGGAGAATTCAGAGAAAGCTGACACTCTCCTGACCCTCTCTCGAGTTTCTCATTTACCTGCGTCACTTTTTTTCCGATTGCTTCGCTCTACACTTTAGCTAGACCTACTCTTGCTTCGTTTCCCTGTATGATTTAGCCTCTGTGGTCTCTCTTAATTTATGATTTACTCACCGCTATGTGGCCAGCCTTTGTCTGGCTTTTAAATGTACAGGAAAACAAACGTCCTCTCGACGAACTCGACAATAATAGTATCCAAGTACCTCTCGACAAATGTTCAGTAGCCAAGAGAAACATTAAATTTAAAAACTGCACAGAATTATCGCCGTCATTTTTCCGAGTGGCAACAGTGCTGATAACAGCAACAGTGATATATCAGCAACAATGGCTGCGTGCCATCGATTTGATGGGATTTCATCAAAGAACATAAAATAAAAAAAATCTCATTCGAATTTTGAAAAAAATCGTTTCTAGGTGCACTGGCTCTTGTCTGGATGCACCCCTATGTAATAAATTTCGTAGCCCTGGGTCTATTAGCTTACACGCAGCACGAACGAAAGACACACCACAGACACAGACTCTTTCTTTTATTATATGTAGAGATAATAAATTCCTTCTGAAATAGCAAAAACTCGTCCTCATTTCTTTCAGTGTTTCAGTTTATTATTTTTTACCCAATTAAAATATTTTTTGTTTCACCATAAAGAAAAAATTTGATGTGTATACAACATGACTTCCTTGTACGGAATTTTAAATTATACGCATTTTTTCTTGCATTTCGTTTAAACATATTGGATTTAATTAAATCTACTTCGCCAACAGCGCATAAACCACAACAGAATAAATGCATTCTTTAAAATTCCCTCTATTTGTTTACCATAGCGACACTCTGGCGCTAGGTTCACTTAAGAGTATTATATTTCGTTCATATTATAACTCAGAATGCACAAAATTTATACCATTTAATTAGATTAGATTAGATAATTCTTTAAATGATATATTATAATTTATAACATTTAAAGAATTATCTAATCGTTGCCACATGTTCTATTCAAATACTATAATAAAGCTAAAACGATGTATAAAAGAAATTAAGCAAGCAAAACAAAAAAGAAACAGTTTTTCAGTATTTCTCATTCAATTAATTCAGTTCTCACTTCGCGAAAAGGCAAAAATACATAAAAATTCAAAATATGGATTAAAAATTACTAATTATTAAAATTAAGTAAATCTAACACTTATTTCCTCGAAAAATTCCAGAAAGGACTTAAGCATGATTTAAATCGCAGAATAATGAAGGCGTTATCTTGTTGTTGTTGGAAGCTACGTTTCTCTAGATTGGCAACAATGCTGTTCAAATTTAACAAGCAAGGGCCGCCATCAAAAAAATTATTAGGCTTATCGGCACTTAAACAACTTTAAATTGTTGATAATTCTAAAAAATATGCCTACAGATTATAATGGCATAAAAACCTTAACCGGAAGATAAGACAACATAATTCATTCATTTTAAAGCAAAAAAGGTACAATTTCAAACATATGATAAAGAAACTGAGATCACTGAGCCGGGTAACAGAGTGGATTTTATATAAATATATTTATAAAAACGTTTGGAGTGGCCGATTGCAAAAAAATACGAGGGCGCATTACATGTTATAGCAGTTCTATATACAAAATGTCAGCGTTCTGAGCTACTTGTTTTGAGTTATGCAGATACTTACATATCGTACTTACAACGCCACGAAAATTCTCTTCAAATATTTTAAAGCAGTTTGTAATTTTTTTTTTTTTTTTTTTTTTTTTTTTAGGAAGTGTCTTTTTTCTGTCCTTACGTATAGATATCACGCAAAACATCGTTATTGCATTCGAAAGCGAGTCAAATGGATATTTTCGTTGAAAATATGCGCCTGAAACTTTTCGCGATTACAATACTTCCTTTTTACTTCGTACAAGGAAGTAAAAACGTAATCCTTAATGATTTTAGTTCGCATTTTACGATACGTTTTTAATGTCTTTAATTTTTCAGACTTCTTTGTTTATATATATTTTCGTAGGATTTAAATTCGTTTTGTAAAAGCTGCGATATACCTTTCTAAGAGCAAGAGTGAGGGCTGTTCTTCCTCCCATGCTGTGTCCAACCAGCGTACCGCGAGATATTTGGTGACAGTTTAAAAAATGGTCCAAATCCTCCGCCAAAATGTCGAAATTGAAGTCATCACTCCAAGGACTTTCCCCGTGGTTTCTAGCATCCACAGCATACACCTAAAGCAAATAAATAAATAAATAAATAAACAATTAAAAAAAATCTGAAAGGTTTCAGATACATGTGGTTGTAACAACGAAAATTGTTTAGTGTGTTGAATTCCACGACCATAGTAACTTGTGTATTTTAGTGAATTTATGATGCATCCGTTGTTTGTGAATTTGAATATATTTACTTGGTTGACAATTTCGATGAAACCTCACTTCCGGTTACCATGATAGTTTTAACTTTGTTTGCTCCTGTTTTATTTAAATAAAAATAGATTGATGTGTCATGACAAATTAAGGCAGTGCGCAATGCCTACTTGTGCAATTCTAGACTGTTTTTTTAAGGAAAACAGATCGATTTGTACATGGACGCAGAGTTTGTTCAATTCTTTGACTTTTATTTGGTTTGTGTGTAGAGCCCTTTGAAAGTTTTGCTTCCGGCGCGATTTGGCGTCAAAAAAGAATCGCCAAGAAACAAGGGGCACCCAATTGTAAACTTTTACCCTTAAAAGTTACTACTATGTTTACGTTTAAAAATCACATAATAGTGCTGTTATTGCCGCCATAAAAATTTGCCAAATTTTGAAGGCCAAAATAGATTGACGCCAACTTACTTCGCTTATGGATGATTAGCCCTAATTATTATGGCAGCAGCAGTTTAATCATTTCCAAAGCAAAATTATATTTGCTTGACGAGTAGAATTTACATTTGAATTCAGTGGTACTTCTGTTTTACATATATTTAGATACCTGGAATTGATTTAATGGTGCGTGTATATTTTGACTATTAAATTACAAACCTCCTGCAGGAGAAGTTAGCATGCCTACGTTTTCACCGTCTTCTTCATATCCTCCAGGGCCGTTTGCATTTTATTCAAGACAGCTCAGCAAAAAAAAGTTAAGTTTCACATCGATGATAACAACCAAAACCTAACGGCAAAGAATTGCGTAAAGCAGGGACATTCTCACGATAACCCATATTCATGCATGATTGACTGCACGTGGCAATTTCAAGAACAAAACCGTATCAAAAGTTTAAATACCTGATTTGAAAAACAAAACAAAAACAAAATATTGGATGAGTGCTTTTTAAATCCCAGCGTTGCTTTCGAAAACATACTCGGTTATTAGTGGGTTACAAAATCGTAAAAATCAAATAAGTACAAAGTTAGATATACATATTATAAAGAAAAACCTTTTAATTTGTATTATTTTAGTAAAATGCACATAAAAGTAATAAAAAAAATTAGTTATCACAATGTTTTTGTTCATTTACAACTGAAAAATCAAATCGCGGAATCGCTCCTGCTAGTGATGGAGTACTTGCAAGAAAATTAAATAAGCTGAAAGTAATCATTCTTGCGTAACATGCCCACCAGAAGCCGAGCGGTAAAAGTCGCTGAACACTGGTAGTTCGGTTCGAGGTTCGAATCATGGGAACGCGCTGGCTGCACGGGCGTTTTCATGGTTTTCCCCATGTGTTTCATGCATACAAGCCAGTTTACCTTAGAAAGTCCTCCGCGAAGGCATCCTTCCTCTTAGCTTTCGAATGCTACTGTAAATTAAATAACTCAACACTTCAAAATGAAGACACAGACTTCGTTAGAGATCTTTTTTAGAGACTTAATCACTGATCTTTTTAGAACCTTTCTAAAAAACGAGAGATCATAGACTCTTCACGTTACGCAGTGATTTTTGCCTATCAAAGATGATTTGAAACAACTGGCACTTCCATTCGCCAATGGGAAGTAGGTAAGCGAGTCATGGACGGCAGAAGTCAGCGCTGTTATCTCATCTTGTCCGAAGCTCCAGAAGTGATACTTTAGTTAACATTATCTTTAATTTCAAGAGCAGTGACAGGAGCCAGATGTGCGAAACGCAACTCATCGTACACTTTCAGATGTGGGGTTGCGAAGACTCTCATCCAAAGACGTAAGATAGCTGTGGTTACTTGTGACTACACCACTTGCAGCACGCATATATTATCGACACTGAATGATCTATCTTGAAAAATGTTCTCGTGGGTCGAAAATTGTCATTCTTATTAAAAATATCCATTACCTAGTACAAAATATACAAAATACAAAAGATATTGGCAGATTACGCGCAAGCAAGCTCATTATGCGATGTTTACTAGAAGATACGTTTTGTTTACTTAGACAAGCTATCAGAAGTGCGACGGCGGTAGAGGTGTCAAGACTTCTGTTCCTTCTAATAGCCTTTGGAAACGTCTGCAAATCCTGAATGGGAGAAGAGAGCTAACTGAAACTATGCTCGTGCGTGTGTAGAAGATACGACAAGAAGGACAAGAGCTAAATTACCCTTTATTTCTCACAGTTTACAGCCGTTCCCGCACTTCGAAATACGACCAGCACTTATGGTCTAAAACGTAGAAAACAAGAAATAAAACTAACTTACCTCAATAAGAACTAAACTTACATACTTTACAAAGACCAGTAACGCGAAGATTGGCCTCTTAACTCCACGTATGTAGTGAGCAGAATGCGAGAAACTACAATACGTTTTCAAGTACCAAAAAGAACTACACTGAAGTGACAAAAGTCATGGGATAGCAATATGCAAATATACAGATGGCAGTAGTATCGCGTAGAAAATGTATAAATGCGAAGTGCTTTGGCAGGGCTTTCGTTTGTGTTCAAGTTATTCATGTGAAGAGGCTTTGATGTGATTATGGCCACACGACGAGAATTAACAGACTTTGAACGCGGAATGGTAGTTGGAGCTAGACGCATGGGTCATTCCATTTCGGAAAGTTGTGGTACTTGTGACCACACCACTTGCAGGTGTGGCGTAGAGTTGTCAATGTTCACAGACAAGCAACACTGCGTCAAATAACCGCAGAAACTAATGTGGGACGTACGAGGGACGTGTCCGATAGGACAGTGCGGCGAAATTTGTCTTCCTTGGGCTATGCCAGCAGAAGATCGACTCGAGGGCCTTTACTGACAGCACGACATCGCCTGCAGCGACTGTCGTGGCCTCGTGAGCATATCGGTTGGTCCCTAAACGAATGGAAAACGTCGGCTTGGTCAGATGAGTCACGATTTCAGTTGGTAAGAGCTGATGGTAGGGTTCGAGTGTGGCGCAGACCCCACGAAGCCATGGACCCAAGTTGTCAAAAAGGCACTGTTCAAGCTGGTGGTGGTTTCATAATGGTCTGGGCTCTTTTTACATGGCATGGACTCGGTCCTCTGGTGCAACTGAGCCGATCATTGACTGGAAAGGGATACCTTCAGCTACTTGGAGCTCATTTATAGCCATTCATGGACTTCACGTACTCAAACAACGATGGGATTTTTATGGATGACAATACGCCATGTGACTGGGGCACAATTGTTCGCGATTGGTTAGAAGAACATTCTGGACAATTCCAGCGAATGATCTGGCCACCTAGATCGCCCGACATGAATCCCATCGAACATTTATGGGACATCATCGAGAGGTCAGTTCGTACCCAAAACCCTGCACCGTCAACACTTTCACAATTATGGACGTCTATAGAGGCAGCAGGGCTCAATATTCCTGCAGGGGACTTCCCAAGACTTGTTGAGTCCATGCCACGTCGAGTTGCTGCACTTCGCCGGGCAAAAGGAGGACCGACAAAATATTAGGAGGTATCCCATGACTTTTGTCACTTCTGTGTAAGTTCTGGGTTTAAAGGCAGACAGGAACTGACTGAAAAGCACGTGCGTGGTAAGGTAGCGAAAAGTAACTCTCTAACTCTCTTTTTTGGCTAAAAACCATTTCTTAAATACTTTTGCAGGGTCATTTTACATAAACAAAACTAATCGAGCTTAATTTGTCGGAAATGAAAAATAAGAGAAGATAGCAAAGTTTTAAAATAAAATAAGCGTTAGTAAAACTTAAAATCCTTACAGAGGTAATATGATAGTCTTGGACAATATTTACTTGGAAAAGAGCTTTGATCTATCATTCTCCTTAAGCAAATTCTGATAATTCATATTGACCTGAAAGTTGTGGCTGATTAAATTCGCTTCTTTATAGAAAATAATTCTCTGGCAAAGATTTCAGCAAGGTTCCATGTTCCCTGCCAGATTTGCGGAGAAGACTAAGAATGCTTACAAGAACTCGATAATAAATTTAGCTTATTAACACAACTTTCAAACTTGCCAGATGCAAATCCAATCGAATATCCATAATGTCCTCAAACTTTACGTTCCCGATGTGTTGTTTTTGTTGTTGCTAATGCTCATTTCTCTGACCTAGAATCAGCCGAAGGCCACGAAATTCCTCGTGGCAAGAAGCCTAAGTTTACGCCTGCCGTTGGCAACAGCCTTTAGCACTTTACAGGTGACAGTGCGAGTTAGCTCAGTTCCGCCCACCTCAATTTTCATGCAGAGAACCCCGAGGGGGACGGGTCCGAGGATCTCCCACCCCTCTTCTTCTACCACCAACCTCTCGAGAGGACTTTCGGCTCCCCGCACATCTAGAGTGCCCCCATGCCGCACGGACACTATACATTTACAAACATCCATGCGTCTCTGGGATTCGAATCCGGGCCCCTTCGGCACGACAGTCAGCGATGCTAACCACTATAGCGGTTGAGTGGCACGTTCCCGATGTCGTGACGCCGATTTGCACTGGAAGAGAAAAGCTTAACTATCTGACGCATCTTTTACTGTAATATACACAGCAAACTGAACAGCCTGACTCTATAACGTCTCTTCTCTAATTAATTAAAAGCTGGTTATAAAAAGATCTCATATGAAGAAAACTTTACTATTCACGACGCGTATAAATCTTAATAATGTGCTCAGAACAAAAGTGAACGGCTTATCCTGCAGCTTTATCTTGTTTATCTTGCATTTGAACTTTTACAAACAATTAAATAAACTGTGAGATGAAATACTACATCCAGAAATATTTAGACTGAATAGTTATAAAATAAATTAAACGACAGGGGTTTGTATGATATGTAATAAGATAAATTAACACAGGAATATACAGTTGCAAAGTAAAATATAGAGCAGCATATTCTGATACATATTTAACTAAGGCCGAAAAGTTAACCGTTTACCTTACCTTACGCCCAGTTTTCCTCGCAATTTGCGGACCCAGTTTTTTCCAGGTTTTTCTAGAATCCATCATTCCGTGAAGAAGAATAACTGGAGGCAAATTTTGTTCTCTATCACCAGGAGGAGAGAAGACATCAAATGCTAACTCCATTTCGAGAGCCTAATTCAGTTTGAAGATCTGAGAAACATAAAAGTAAATTTAAGTTAATCTTTAATTGAAAGTACAGCTGCAGCGATACAAAGAAAATTTGACAACTTTTGTACAAATGCCATCTAAGGTTATTTAACAAGAGGCTGCACGAATTTTGAACGTCACTTTTTACTTCCTTCAACGAAGTGAAGTATTGTAATCACGAAAATTTTCGATTATTCAATTTCATCGAGAATGTCCGTTTTGACCGCTATCGACTGCAATTTAACGATGTTTTTGCGTGACATCTGTACGTAAGAACAGAATAAAGGATTCTTTCCCAAAACGGGTTGCAAAAAGGATTTAAAATGGATTCACAAGAGATATTTTTTCGTGACATCTGTACGTAGACGTACACTGAAGTGACAAAAGTCATGGGATACCTCCTAATATTTTGTCGGTCCTCCTTTTTCCCGGTGAAGTGCAACAACTCGACGTGGCATGGACTCAACAAGTCGTTGGAAGTCCCCTGCAGGAATATTGAGCCATGCTGCCTCTATAGACGTCCATAATTGTGAATGTGTTGACGGTGCAGGGTTTTGGACACGAACTGACCTCTCGCTGATGTCCCATAAATGTTCGATGGGATTCATGTCGGGCGATCTAGGTGGCCAGATCATTCGCTGGAATTGTCCAGAATGTTCTTCTAACCAATCGCGAACAATTGTGGCCCGGTGACATGGCGCATTGTCATCAATAAAAATCACATCGTTGTTTGAGTTCGTGAAGTCCATGAATGGCTATAAGCGATCTCCAAGTAGCTGAAGGTATACATTTCCAGTCAATGATCGGCTCGGTTGCACCAGAGGACCGAGTCCATGCCATGTAAAAAGAGCCCAGACCATTATGGAACCACCACCAGCTTGAACAGTGCCTTGTTGACAACTTGGGTCCATGGCTTCGCGGGCTCTGCGCCACACTCGAACCTTACCATCAGCTCTTACCAACTGAAATCGTGACTCATCTGACCAAGCCACGGTTTTCCATTCGTTTAGGGAGTAACCGATATTCTCACGAGCCCATGAGAGTCGCTGCAGGCGATGTCGTGCTGTCAGTAAAGGCACTCGAGTCGGTCTTTTGCTGGCATAGCCCAAGGAAGACAAATTTCGCCGTACTGTCCTATCGGACACGTCCCTCCTACGTCCCACATTGATTTCTGCTGTTATTTGACGCAGTGTTGCTTGTCTGTGAACATTGACAACTCTACGCAGACGTCGCTGGTTTCGGTAGTTAAGTGCAGGTGGTCGGCCACTGTGCTGTCCATGGTGGGATGTTATGCCTGAAATTAGATACTCTCGGCACACTCTTGACACTGTGGATCTCGGAATGTTGAATTCCCTAACGATATCCGAAATGGAGTGACCCATGCGTCTAGCTCCAACTACCAATCCGCGTTCAAAGTCTGTTAATTCTCGTCGTGCGGCCATAATCACGTCAAAGCCTCTTCACATGAATAACTTGAACACAAATGAAAGCCCTGTCAAAGCACTTCGCATTTATACATTTTCTACGCGATACTACTGCCATCTGTATATTTGCACATTGCTATGCCATGACTTTTGTCACTTCAGTGTATGTATGTATCTTGCATAACTCAAAAACGAGAAGCCTCAGAAAGTTAAAATTTTGTATATAGAACTGCTATAACATGTTTTTGTGCACCTCAAGTTTTGGTTGCAAATGGCTGCACCAAAAGTATATAAATATATATATATATATATAGGAAATCAGAATGTAGACCAAGTTCCATTTATAAAAATTGCGAAAGAACTAACAAATTCAACATGTAGATGTGCACCTCCTATTTTGGTTGCAAACGGCCACACCAAAATTATATAAATACATGTATGTATACTCTGTTACTCGGCTCAGTGAGCTCATTTTTTTTTTTATTCTTACATGTTAGTAAACTGCGTTTTTTTTTTTTTTTTTTTTTTTTTTTTTTTTGCTTTAAAATTGAATTATATTGGTCTTATCTTTCAGTTAAGGTTTTATGCCTTTAGTCAATCTGTATGGAATACTTGTAGAATTATCAACAATTTAAAAGTTGTTTAAGTGCATCTGAGCCTAATTTTTTTTGCCATATCAGCCATATTTGTTTACATTTGAAACTTAGCAGAATAGTGAATTAAGTCAGTTTCTGCACCGTCAGTAGCTTTTTGCCGAATGGGACCAAAGGTAAACTTTCAGTTATGTGCACCGAAAAATCTGCCTTCTTGCCCGCTGGCCGAATTGCTTGTTTTTTGAGTAGAAACTAATTTTAATCGTAAAAATATTTTTTAAAATTGTTTAACTGTATTTGGTATCTTAAATTTTTCTACATTTTTTTCACTTTTTAATAAAGATACTTTGAAGTTTTATGTATTTTTGCCTTGCCGAGAAGCGAGAACTGAATTAATGGAATGAGAAATATATCTCTAATGAAATTTGAAGAAATAAGTTTAAATGGAACGCAGCCAAAAAAATATGCATGACCTAACATTCCGTACATGGATGTCATGTGGTGTACAGATCAGATTTTTTTTATAAAGCTTCTGCAAACAAAACTAGAAATTTTAATCCCGATTTTGGACATTTAAAAAACATAATTTACCACTTTAACGTAACTGAGAATAATGTTTGAATAATAATACTAACTGAAAATAATATTCAGATATTGTTACTGTGCTTTGAATTCTTGCCCGTTTATATACAGAAAATACAAGGAATCCATAGTTCATTGTAATTCGTAAGTCGTTTAATACATCGTTGGCCATCTAAAATGCAACCCTATGAAGAAAGGTTATAGTTACTGGACAAATAAATTTAAGTACAGAGATGAATTAACATTAAAATCCCATTTGACTTACAGAACAAGAAGAAATCAGTATTTTGTGCAGACGGCATGCCTCAGCATTACTAGAAAGAAGATATAGAAAGAGGATTAGTATATATAATACTGCGCCATAGCCAGCTGTCCTTAGACAGTCCTCAGAACCGATAAGCTTAGATTGGCTGCAATCGATTATCCTCGCAACCCAGGCTTAATTTCTAAGATTAGAAGTGCCGGAACCCTATGGAGGACAGTCAGCAAAGAGGAAAAGAGTAAATAAATAAATAAAATAATAATTAAACTCATTAATAATTTTAAAATTAAATAGTTAATTATTATCAAATTAATTAATAGCTATTTAATTAATGTTTATAAATTGTCGTTTAATCAATAATTAGTATCTAATTAATTATAATTTAATTGATAATTATTAGATAATTAATTATTATTTATTGAAATAATTCAAGATTGAAGTAAATTAAATAATTAAAAATTAAATAACATGTAAAGAGATAAATTGAAATTTAATAAGCAATTTTAATACAATTTTATTATTAAAATAAAATTTTCGAGATAAAATTTCTACTGAAATTATTATTGAGTTACATAAAAGGAGTGCCGCAGCCTTCTTATTCAGGGCTCCGGTACGTTCCGGCTAGAATTATTATTTATTACAAAAACTAAGAAGCTCCGGAGCCGACATCCGGAGGGCTCCGGCCCAATTTAAACTCTGATCGTAGGGGGGGTGGAAGTTCTTTTATTATCACAAAAATTAAATATACTTAAAGTATAGCTGATGAAAACTCCAGGGCGAAACAGAATGAGGGTATGAATGGGTGAAACACCAAAAAATGAGGGAAATCTTGGTGGGAGAGAACGTTTTCTTTGACCGCGGCTCTCTGCTGATATAATTATAGCCATCAAGCAGATGTGCGTCAGGGATAAAATGAGTTCTGAATCTGACTCCTAAGGATGAATCTAAAGTTGCTGGTTACACTTTTCACCGCCCCCGTATTTGGTTACATTAGTGGATACTGTGGGAAGACGATGTATAGGGCGTGCTTGAGCAGTTTATCTCAGCATTTCACTCTTATTGTATTCGCTGTCACTTAACACACATTTAAGAACACACATTTTCCTTCCCGGGAGGATAACTAACTGTAACCATTGATAACAATACACTAGATACGATGGCATGGCAAGAAATTTACGCGTTCCTAAATAAACTCCCCCAAATTTATTGCCCTTCGTAAAGGGAAAGGTTTCCGCATGTGAGTGAGGGGACTTTACTTGAACGTCTCATGCTCTCATGAGTTCGTATTTCTAGGGACATAGAGTAGTGAGTAGTCTGCTTATTGTTAAACTAAAACGTTAGGAATTCTAAATTTTTTTCCTTTGAAACTGTGGTTCAGTTTTATAAAAAGAAGTACCGGAGCTTATCTTATTTAGGATTCCGGTGCTCTCCGGCTAGAATCGTAATTTATCTTAAAAATGGAGAAGTAGCGGCGCAATTTAAGCACTGTCGCAAACATTCAGGGCGTCAGAAAAAAGTAATTTCGAAATATGTCCAACAAACAAAAGTCATCACTTTTGACAGCTTTTGTGTCCTACCAGAAAAGTAGCACATCTCCAACACTGGCAGCATATTTCATAAGTGCATATCTGCATCGCCACTGAGGGAGTGGCTTCTAAAATGGGCCAATGGGCTTCCGGTAATATTTCCGTCATTTCACGTGACCTTTGACGCGTCTCTTAAGCAAGACGGTTGAAAATGTTTTGCCACGCAATTTCCTGTACAAAATAAAGCATCATGTATTTCTTTTTCAGTGCGAAGTTAGACCAAATATAAACGGGGTGCATCTGAAATGCTTCAATAAATTTAGAGGGATGATAGTACCCATCAAGACGAACAAAAAAATGGAACGGAACATGGTGTCTCAAATGACGTTTAAAGGTGAAAATCGAGAAAATGCGTCTGGAGATGGACAAACTGACACAAGAAAGAAACACTCCAGAAAATTATTTATTGCATAGAATAGGTACAACACAGCTAGTGATGTCCAGAGAAAACAAAAAGTTTACAACAGTTGTTCAAAGTGTCGACCGCGGAGATTATCACACAGAGTTCATCGACAGAGGAACGACTGGCAGACACGCTCGAAGATTACGGGAGTTT